TGTCTGAAAATAGAATGATACATATGTGGAAGCCATCATGAATTACTTTTCATATGTCTTAATTTTCTTTTTATTTCTAGGTGTGTAGTTTAAAATTATACCACTTCTTTTGTCTAGGTAGCAAATGTATTGTTCTATGCTTTCTTACAGCTTTTTGCTTAAAATGTTTTTGCAAGATGACTTCTGAATTCATTTTTACAGCTGTGTTGCTATCAAATAGCAAGCTAAAGTTTAGAGACAAGGCTTGGGTGCAAAGCTATGCAAGAGTTTAGTTCAGCTGTCCTAAACTAATTGGGTGTTAAGTATGCACCAACAATTGTTCTCCTAACCTGAATGTGACATGAATAGAAAAATTCCTTGGGAGCAAATGGGCATCTTAGCATATAGGAAAAAATTAATTTTGTTTTGCAGTGAGAGAACATGTGTGTGTATGCGTGTGTATATGTATGGAATTTGCAGACCATGGCTAATTCCTGAGAGCACGTTGTACTTAAAAAGGAAGGTTTTGCTCTGTCAGAATTTACCTAGGTGTAATTTTCAAAACTCACACATGGAGAGGACTGTTGAAATTAGGCAGGGGGAAATCTTAGAATATCTGTTTCTTCTAGCCATGGTTTAGAATCTTCATCAGCTTCATTAATGACTTCCTAGGTTTGTAAGGGTACCTCCAATGTGATCACAAATGCTTTCTTTGATTTAGTTCATTTGAAGAAACATTTAAGTTTCTCTCCTATATGTTCATTCACTCAGATTATTTATTGAGCACCTACTGTGTACTAAGTAATACCAGAAGATGAATATATAGTTTTTGGAACTATAGGAGTGACACTCACCCCCATCCCCACATTGTGACTGACATTTTTTTCCCCCCTAAATATTTATATACTAGCTAGTCCTCAGAATTGGAATTTGGTTACTATGCAACAATGTTTCAGATTTATATATTGTGGCTTAGGAAACATAACTTTTAAAAATTAGTTTCTGCAAATTTGAGTATGCCATCTGGTAAAGCTTACCACAGTGTATACTCTACATACACAAAAGAAATAATCTAAGTGACAGTGTGTGTTGATCATTCCTTTCACCTTTTCTGTATTACAATTTTCTCATTTGGGAATTTCATCTTTAAAAACCACACAATTTTGATAAATGTAGGTTTCATTTCTTGCAGGTTTTTAAAAGTAATTTTTTAAAAAGGAAGGGACATGAATTAATTTGCCAGAAATGAAAATGTTATAAATCTGAACATTTATGATTATGGTTCAAGATGTTCTAGAAATATGCTTATGACAAAAGTTTTGTTTTTTAAAAACGTCATCTCCAGATGTCCCTTCTTTCAGATTCTAAAGCCTTAAATGATAAGAGCAAACATTTATTGAGAACTCTTTATGTGTGAGCACTTTAATTTTTATGAAGGTAACTACTAAAATCTTTGTTAGAGAACTAAAACATAAAAGGAATGGCTTGTTCAAGATCCTACAGCTACTAAGTGTTAGAGCCAGCATTTGAATGCAAGATCTGACTTCAGCGTCCACAGTCTAAACCACCAGGCAGCAGTTGAGTTTTTTATGCTTTATTTTATTCTCAGCTACTAATATTATTTGGGCAAGTGAGTTACCCCTAACCTCTGGGCTTCGGTTTTTGCATCGTTCATATGAGGGTATAATAAAATCGGCTACTTCCAGCTAATGATTTTTGTAGGGAACTAATGTGATGATGTCTGTAGAAATGTTTTGGAAAAATTTGGAGTGATGTATAATTATACTTTAAATCTGTTAGTTAGGACTTTTCAGCTGTAGTAGTCTAATTTAAGCAGTGCATGTTCAGCACCATGACATGTCTTGTCAGTGATATTAATAAGTAATAGAAGAGTTGGTTGAATTTACAGTTCTTATTAGTGTTTTAAAGCCTTTCTCTCAAGTTTTCTGAGCAGGTAAAAGGGAATTATCTTTTCTTAATTAGTGCTTAATTAGTGCTTTCCTTATCTCTAGGACTGAAAAATAATATTTTTCTTTTTGCAGCTGTGTTAATTAAATAGGTGATGAAACACAACTTGATACTACTAGATTGTACTCTTGCTGACCACCAGAAGGTAGATTTGCTGATCGGAAAGACAGAGATGGGATACATTGCTTTAATCCAAAATAGAGTTCTGAGTTTGAGGCAGAAAAACATTTAAGAATGTCCAGGGGTCTTAAAGTAAGCTTCTGTTAACAATACCTGAAGAACAGCATGCAACTGATAGAAAGGGGTAGCTTGTCACATGCTGTTCTTCATCTAGTTTATAAGATACCATGAGTAGTAGTAGTAGTATCAAAGTGGGAAGATGAGGTGTGTCCCTATGAATAGACAATAGATGGATATTAAAATCATACTACTTAAATTAGAAGGAATTTGAAGTACATTAGGATCTTCAGTCTCCTAGATAATTCATATGAAGCACATAATGGAATTTTCATCCCATTTTGCATTTGAAACTGTATCCATGATATGGTCTTTGTTCAGACTAGAGTTGTCCAATAGGATTATAAAACAAGTCACATATGCAATTTTAATGTTTCTAATAGCCATGTTAAAACATAAAAACCAAGTGAAATCAATTTTAATAATAGATCTTATTTAATCTAATATAGCTATAATATTATTTTGGCATATAATCAATATAAAAGTTATTGATGATCTGTTTTATCTTCTTTTTTCAGATTAAAGCTTCAAAATCCAGTGTGTATTTTATACTCACAGAGTATCTCAATTCAGGCTAGCCATATTTCAAGTGCTCAGTAACCACATGTGACTAGTGGCTACCCTATTGGATAGCACAAGTGTAGACTGTCCTAAGTGAATGGAGTTACGCTGTTGGTTTAATGAGATCTAATGACTGTTAATTTTTGAATGCTTACAATGTGCCATGCATTGTGTTCTCTATAATATTTTCAACTAATCTTTATAATAACTCCATTATTGTAGGTTTTATTATCATTTTACAGATACAGACAATGAGGTATGAACATATTAATTTGTCTAAGGTTAAATAGGTAGTCTGTAGAGGAGCAGGATTTAAAACTAAACCTGACTCTAAAACCCTTGTTGTGTTTACTATATTGCACTGTCTTAATGCACCGCCACTTAGGGATAGGGCAAGTAGTTGAGTGAGATTTAGTGCTGCCACTCTCAGCTGTTTTTGATTCACTCCAGTGACTTATGGTTTAATTACTCCTTATTTGAAGGAAGTGAAAGTGGTACCTCCTAAGTCCTCATTTTCCTTATTAGGAATATTCCTTTATATGCCATTTCCCATTGTAAAGTGTTTTCTACAGCTCTTTAAACATGTAGAAGGAAGCGATGCTTCTTTGAGTCTGGCACATATTTGTGGCAAGAGGTAAGGGAAAAGTCAGCTCTCACTGAGAAAAGTGAAAACCAGTGACTAGTAAAACTCTTCTCAGGATAAGGAAAATTTTTAAGGGTTTCAGTATTTCACTCTGAGAAAGATTTTGGGAAGTTCTTATTTATCATGTTCTTTGGATTATAAGTATTTTCTCAGTTTTCTTATAGGATGTTATATGATAGGTTTATGCTTAGCAGCATCTCCTAATTAATTTGAATAATTTCTTTGAATTACATTTGGATTCTGAGAGAATATTTGCTCACAAAGACGAGCTGTTTAATTCCAAAAGGAAAAATAGGCAGTCCCTAATATTTGAATAGGTTGTCTTCCAGATCATGTGTAGTAAAACAGTTGTTTGAACTTGGCACATGTTCTACTACACTGCTTTTAAGTTCCCAGGCTAGCCCACAGAAGCCTATTTAAAACCACATACTATTTTAGCACTAATACAGTATTGGTTTAAATTTTGGGTCCTTAGAGCAGTGGAGCATGTTCTGTGGGAGTTGGAGGAGGAGGAGGAAAGTTTATTTTTGGCTTTTTATGTTTTCTCTTCCTATACTTTTCCATCTCTTAGTTCCTGTTTTCCAACTCCTACTGGCCTAAGCTTCCTACTGTTTTACTGTAACCTTGAAAAACATCAAAATGCTCAGTAACTTCACAGTTTTCTATAGTAAATAGTAGGTCTGTTTATTGAGTGCTTGGCAAGTATAAACATTTTATGCTTATTATCTCATTTAGTCTTCTTAAGAGTTTTATGAGTATGTGCTAGTCTCATATCATTTTACAAATGAGGAATCTGAGGGTAAGATTAATCACTTTGCCCAAAGTTATAGGACAGGGAGAGGAGTTATGTAGTTAGGTTGTTGGGCAAACTTTAGCAGTATGACTGGAAAGCTTATCCACTAACCATTGTAGTATACTGATTTCCTCTTTTCACATACTCTCTTTTCCTTTTCCTCTTTGCTAAATCTCAACTCCTTTTATTGCCTCAATTCAGCTAAATTTTTTTTTTTTTTTTTTAAGACACAGGTGTCTCTCTGAGTTGCTCAGGCTTACCTCTAACCCTTGGGCTCAGGCAGTCCTTCCACCTACCTCATCCTCCCCAGTAGCCGGGACTAGAGTTTTGAGCCACTGAGCCTGGCAGTCAGCTACTTTTAACTAAATGTTAGGGAAAGCCATTTGATTGAATTAATTCATAATGTAATATTGTAGAGCTCTGTTAATAAAAACTATATGATTTTATGATAAAATTTGATAATGTGATTATCTTTAGTGAGAATTGAGCCAATATGGAATCAGAATTTAGACAAGCCTCTCTAAATCATTCTTCGTCTTTGCATGTTTAGTAGCTGGGTTGCCTAGTGTTCTACATTTTCAGTTAGAATTTGTGATAGTGGTTTTCAGCTATGGACTGAGAACATTTTGGGAGCTGCACCCATTATACAATATTTTCTGAGGACCTAATAAATGATTTGCCTCTCAATTATTTTTCAACTGTACTGCTATGTTTAGAATATAAAATATTATTGTATTCATGGTAGAATTTTGTTATATTTTCTTAGTAAATATCAGAAGTACTGTCATGGGGAATTTGAAAATCATGATATAAATGAAGAATCCCTTTTACTTAAAAAGTGGAGAATCATTGTGTAAATCATACTACAAAAAAGTTATATATAAATTATATTTACTGGTTATATTAATAGTTTAGAATTTGCTTTCCAGACATTCATACTGAATGTCAGGGTATCAATTGTAATGTTAAAGTGACTGTCTAACTTACCAACTGGTAAAGGCCCTTAATCTTCTCAAAGGTGATTGTACAAGATCTTTAGATTCTCTCTCTAATTGGTAAAATTTTTGGCAGTAAATGAAAAATTTAGGCATTATAAAAGGCTTTGGTTGGGACCCCTGGAGTCTTCCCTTTCTCTACAAACTGTCATTTCTTCCCAGTAGCTCTATGATAGAGACGAATGATGGAGTAGCAGTATATTGTGTTATTTTGTAAACTGAGTGCTATTTTTTATTTCATACTGGAATTGGGGAAAGAAGAAAGCCAAGATTTATTAATTTCCCTCTCTCCACATTGCTGGACACAGTCACAAAACATCTCTTTTTATATTGGGTAATTAGAGATCCAGAGACGGTAAGTTGCCTGCGATCGAAAGTCATAAACATTGGAGCTAGTATTCATTGCTTCAGAGATTTTTTTCATTTTGTCCCATTGATTTTTACTTTGAAGAGATACTTTTCATTCCTCTAAATGATATAATTTCAGGAGCAAGCATTACTTAAAAGGAAGTTTATATTTTACTTAAAGAAATTTAAATTTTAAAAGTTGTCCTTGGTTGAAATTAATACAAAACAGCTATAAATTATATTAATGTCATCTCATCCAAGAAGGAAAAAGGGCAAAAATATTACTCAATAACTTCAAAAATATTCAGTGTCTTTGTAAAAATTCTGTAATATTTGGGTTGGGAAATGAGAGAAACTAGGATGATTTAGGGTCTTTGCTTAAATTTTGCTTTAAGTAGAATGTCAGTCTAAATACAGTTTTAAAAATAGAAGTATAATATTTTGTTGGGTTGGTTTAGATTGCTTTTTTTTTTTTTTTAAAGCAAACACCTTCAGTTTTCTTTAAAATTCTTTTTGGTTAATAAATTCTGTAGGGACCAAAATAATAAAAGACACTGAAGTTCGTCAATAAATGTGTATTAATGAAGAACCATAGTACAAGTAGTAGAGTTAAATAAGTAAAAATACATAAGCATGGTATATGGGTTTTGAGTTTAAACAGTAAGATTAATAGATTATAAGTAGGGTGTCCAATTTGGATAAAAAAAAAATAAACAGCTTAATGTGGTAAATCAAAATTCTAGGAAATCCATATGCTAGCTGGAGCAGACATAATATGAATATTTTCCTGGTTTGCAATTTGAATGTCTCTGCCTATGGCATTGGGCTTTTTGGTGAACTCCCTGGGTGGCCTGTGCATCATCAGGGGTGAGGGTTGTCCAGTTTCAGGCTATAGGACTTCAGAAATAGAGCAGTTTATAGATAACAAAATGTCAAGGACAATGACCAGGACTAGAATCTGATATCTACAAGATGCCACTATAGTTTTGTATCGAAACATAAATTTTTTCTCTACAGCCGTTCTAGTTTCTATCGAAGATAATCATAGTAAGACTAATATGTTTGCAAAAAAGTCTAGTCTCATTAAACTTGGCCTGATTATTTACATAAGTGCAGCAAGAATAGTCATTGGCCACATAGGCTCTTTTAAAGTCTACTTTGCTGGAACTTTTAAATAAGGGATCTCAGATTAGCCTTTTAAAAGCTTCTTCAAGCTAAGAAGCCATGCCAAAGACTTGCCAGCAGACTTTGCCTGCAATACCTATAGATTTGGATGACTTTCTCTCTTCTCAAGCTCCTCAAAATAATTTTAAAGTTCCTGGGCCTGCCTTATTCAACCTATAAGGCCAGAGAACCCTTAAAGTCTGGCACTACACCAGTTTTATTTCCCCCCCCAAGGGTCTTTATTGGCTCCATAAAGTAACCTTTAGTTCTTTAAACCTGGTCGTATCCAAGTCTATGCATTCTCAAATATAACATTCCAGTCAAAGCCTTGATATTATGATCAGTGTTTCCAATTATATCTTGTTACAAAGAGAAAAGATTTGTATTGAACTTATGCAAATAGCTATATGGCCATAAAAATACTCACTGATAGTTTCTGAATTTTGGAGGGATCACATAGGAAGAAAAGATAATTGTTTCATCTTTGTTCACAAAGATATACTTTACCAAATTGTTGTAAATTATAGATAGCTTAAGAGAAAAGAAAAAGGCTTCCTTAAATCTGAAAAACAACATTACAGAACCGGTAATGTTTGCAACAAAAAGGCCATTAAAAACCCTATAATTTTTCTTCATTGATTCAATCTCATGTACTTTTTGTTCTGCTTGTCTTTGGGTTAGCAGTTTTGTGAACCGATCAGTTTCTTCATTAGAGTTGTGGAAATTCTTACCCAGACCAATGGTATAATCTTAAAGTTTTCAGAAACCTGTACTTGTCAGAATCTTTTCCATGAATCTCCTTGAGGATGAAACACTTGAGGATTGTAGTTGCTAGCAAAAGCTTTCAGGAAAACATCAGAGTGAAACAATTAACTGTCTGTAGATAATAAGACTTAAAGTGGCCTTGGTTAAAAATCTGATGAGAGTTTATTATAATGCAGTTGACAAGAAAATTTTATTTTGTGACATACAATATTTTAACATAATACCAAAATTATGACTGTTAACGGTATACCAGGACATGTCAGATTTCTGGGAATTTCATACAATTTCTAGACATTCATATCAATAACATACCCATACAAATATAACTCAAGGAAGGTTAAAACATCATTGCTTATTTGATAATGCTTCCCATGTAAATTTAACATACTGAATGAGTCTAATTAGTTTAACATCTCTTTTTATGAGGAGAGAGAACGAATTCTTTTGAGATATTCTAGGGGCCCTCTGGAAACTACTAAAGTTAGTTTGAGGTCAAAAAGACAATTTAGAATTAGATTTTGAGAAGTTTGTCAAAAACATCAAAGGTTTAAAACACTTGATTAAAATAGGATCACAGGCCACTTGAAATAATAACTCATTTAACCAGAGTGATCATTAAAAGGCACATACAGGAATAACATAGATGTAAAAAAAAAACTAAAAAAACAACACATTTTACTTCTTTTAATGAGAATTCAGTTTTCATAGTCAAAGACCTAATAAAGCAAGAACAGACTGATACTCCAAGAAAACTTTGCACCAATATACTTTTGATACGGACTCATCATTTTCAAAAATGACTTGTAAGTAAGTCCATTCAAATATTAGCCAGGTTGACCACACAAAATTCCTTTTTCAAGATTCCTTTTCTACAAACCTTCTATAGTTTTCTTATATCCATTCAGCTTTGTCCTATATGGTTCCTCTTTCCCGTTGTGGAACTGATAAGGAAAACCCCCATCTGTTATTTGGCACATCAGCCACCTGAGACCCCCACGCCTCACGGAAGACCCGCAACAGCATACTACTAACCTATTACCTGGCCCATCAACTAATCTATTACCTGGCACATCAACATAACACTAAATCTACTGCCTGGCGCATCAGCATAACACTAAAATCTATTATCTGACACATCAACTAACCTATTACCTGGCAGGCATTAACCACCTGACCCCCCCCAGACCACTACAACTTAATAAAAGTGGGAAAAATCAGGTAGATGGTGTTCAGAATTTGGTGGCGAGGCCCCTCTGAGCCCGCCGGCGAATAAACTTTGATTCTCTGACTCTCCATTTGCCGCTCGGTTTGTCCTCAGGACCACTTGCTGTAACACTTGCTGTAACAGAACAACCAGTCATTGTACTTTAGGACAGAAATTATTCTTTTTCCCTTAACAAAAACACATCCTTTGTACTTTATAGCTTTTCTTGCCAAAAACATGTTATTTTCTTCACACACAGAATTGTTTCCCTTTTTTTTCCTAGTTTTAATTACCGTATATTAGTTGGAATTTATAACTTTTAGTAAATTTAATTTTTAGAAGCATGTGTTTCCTCATGGTATAGTTTTTCAGTGTGACACAGGACATGTTTACTAACTTAGTCCCATAGTTAGAAGCCAAAAGTGGATAACTTAGGTTCTGTAATTAATTTTTCAGTATTTTATCTTATTTGAAAATGATCTAGATATGATTCAATGAGTATCTGTCACTTAAGTTAGCAAAACTCCAAGAGTGTAAGTTACCAAAGAGATTTTGGAAACAGGTTTTAAGTAGATATAACACAAAACAAAACTAGCCATCATCAAGTTATTACCCTTTTAGCTATTTACAGGCATGTGCATGTTAGGCAGTCATCACAAAGGCAAGAATCCTAAAAAAGTTAAATAGATGGGTTTTTTGTTTTACTGCTGTGCTTTGATATACATAAAGCAGTGGACATTGCACTTTGACCTGCACATTTGTTCTTAGATTGAACTTATAGTTCCATAAAATTAAACATCTGGTAAAGATAACTGTCAAAGGAAAAGAACCCAAACTCCATAAATTAATTTAAAGAGGTTTATTCTGAGCTGAATATGTGCAGTCATGGCCAGGAGAGCCACGCCCAAGAAGCCTTGAGCAAATGGTCTTGCCTTCATTGGGCTACAGTTTGGTTTTATACATTTTAGGGAGATAGGAACTACACATAAAATGATAAATCAATGCATGGAAAGTGTACATTGGTTTGGCCCAAAAAGGCAGGACATCTCAAGGGGGATAGGGGGAGAGTTACAGGTTAAAGTGGTTTTAAAGATTCTTTGATTTGTAATTTTAAGTTAAGATAAGGAAGTCTGTTAATCAGAGACAAGCCACTGGACATATACTCAAGTGATCCTTTAAGTATATTGATGACCTGAATGCTTTTGTGTCTTACTGTTACAAAGAATGGCTCCAAAAGAGACAGGACTTGACTAGGTGTCTCTGACTTCCCTTCTCCTCAGGGCCTGCAACTCAAGTTTCCGGTGGTGGTTTTTGTCCTCGTTGTTGTTTTTCTTTTTCTTTTTTTTTTTGGTGGTGGGGATCACCTTGGCCAAGAGAGGTCCATTCAGTTAGCCTGGGGGGACTTAAGATTTAGTTTTAATTCATATAACATAAACTTATTTGACTAAAGCAGGTAAAGTATCAGTGTTATGCTCACACTTACAGCTTATAACCCAGAAGACACAGATGCTTTTATTAAACCAACAATATTAAACTAGTCTTATTTACTACAATATACCCAAGTCACGTATGTGAGCTTGAAAACCATTTTGGGTTAGCTCCTATCTTTCTAACTGTTTAAGGAATATAGTTGTCCCTCAGGTTCTGTGACTTGCCTTAGACCTAGTATCTGTAGAGCTCAAGTTCTACATTTGGCCCTATGGAACCCAAAAATAGAAAAAGTCAGCCCTTCCTATCTGCAGGTTGTACAGCCCACAAATACTATGTTTTTGACTCACAGTTGGTTGAATTCATAGATGTGGAACCTGTGAATATGATATGGAGGGCTGACTGTACTTAATTTATATAAGCAGTTATTTTTCTTTAAGTCAATAGAGATCTTTTATAAATTATCTTTGGCAATACCATCCAGAAGTAGAAAAATATCAGACATATATAACATACATACATAGACGTACATAAATATATAGGTAGATGCAAACAGAGATCATATAGCTTTCATTTAAAAATTTTAGCCATGTGCCAGGTCCAAATAAAAAACTCACTCATTTATAAAAGAATGGCTAGGTTCAAATTGTGTCTCTGGTAAATGTGACAAAATTACCTGCTCAGATGGCTAAACTTCTTACTAATAATTTGTGGAAAAGACTTTTAAGATTTTCCATTTACCAGTTTGTTTCCAAATAGTTACCCCCACTTTTTTCTTCTTCTGATGAGTCACCCCTAAATTAGCATTTCTAAAGGGAAAGCTCCTAGGTAAGACACAGAGCATAGACTTAAAATACAATCATTTGCTGAAACAAGGAAAGAAGGATATAAGTAAAGGCACAGTTAAGACAAGATGGCCAGGAAAACCATCTTGAACAAAGAAAAGGCTTATGTAGATTAAGCCAGAGCCCTCTCCATTGTAAGAATTTCTAGTCATTTAGTCCTCTTCTTCCTGGTGAAGACAGGGAGACAAATGAAGCTTTCTTTTATAGATGTAAATTTCTCTTACAAAACAGTCTAAAAATAACTGGCTGAAAATATAATAGTCCTTATGCCAGAAAGGTGTATTTTGGAGACTAATTTGGCCGGAAAGATCAAGGAGTGCAGAATCATGTGCTCCAATGAGAATTCCGAATTCCTCAGCAAATTTCTTAAGGTTTGCTTTTGGGACGGGGGAAATTTTCTCTTGATCTGAGCTCAAGATTTTGCCCAAGATATGAAGGTGGTTAAAGAAGCAGACCTGGTTGATATGAGGGCCTAACTTCACAAGGCATTTGTCTAGCTTTCCTTTCATCTTTGGGGTGGGAAGGTAACTGAGCTAAAAAACTTAGTAGATTCAGAGTTGGCAGAGGAGGATAGAGAGAACAATGGAGAGGAGTTAAGTCAGTCAATATGTAATTTTTTTTAGTCAATTAGTTGCTTACGCTTTTCATTTGCCTTTTGTAGGGAGTCTTTGAGAGAGGCAGGTTTTGATTTAGGCTTTTAGAAGCTGCTGTATACAATTTTTAAAAAAATCCCTTTGTTTCTGAGGTGTTGTAGATCCTTTCTTTTCTAATGTGCCTTGTAATTGAACAAATTTATCTAGGTTAAAGCTATGGCCACTGTAACTCTGAGTTACCTTTGATAAGGTTCACCCCTTTCTCTAGAAAGTCATAGGTTCTGAGTCCATAGGTCTTATACCTGAAATTGACTAAAGTTCCAGATGGAGAAGTTCTAAACTCTTTGCATCCAGTTGAACCCATGATTCCCTGTCTTCTTGTAACTTTACCAACCATCTAGACTCTTTTTGTTACCAAAAGGTTGACACTTGCCCTTGAGGCCACATTAGAAGAATGAGAACAAGTCATTTAAAGAGAAGGAAAGAGAAGTTTATTACTTTACCAGGAAAGGAGGAAAAATGGTAGACTTTCTCATCTCAAAATCCAAATTTCCTGAACATAAGCAGAAATACAGAGCTTTTAAAGGGTGTGCCCCTCAATTCTAGGCTATTGTGGTTAACTATTCTAATCATCCCATCTCTGCCAAAGACAAAGCCTGTGACCTCTGCCCACCTGGGCTTACCTGGGGGACTGGCACTGGCCTGGGATTGCTGAGCTATCTCCTGAGAACAAAAAACAAAAGACCTTCTCCCTGCCTCAGGAATGCAAGCCAAGCCACAGTTCCCAAAAAGAGTGGGAGAAATTTTAAGGAACAGTTTTTTTAGGCCATTCCCTCTATTACATATTCCCCACTGTCAATATTTCCCTTCCATATCTATGGGAAGAGGGGTGACTACTCTGTTATATTTTCATTCAGATGAACCCATGATTCCCTGTCGTCTTGTAATCTTACCTACCAGAGACCTCCCGTTGGACCTAGTCCAGTTTCTGTCTTGACTTCCAGATGGAGTCTGTATCAGAAATACTCAGATAAACTCAGAGAACTCAAAACAAGTTGTGGAGCTTGTATCCAAGAGGGGCCTACCAATGGTGGCCTCCAGATGCATAGTGAGAAGCAGTGAGCACAGGGGGCTTAGCTAGGTTCTTATGTGTTACTTATGTTCCCAGGGATCAACATTTTGGGGGAGGGGATTCTCCTTTGGATCCTTACTTCTGACGCTAGAACTGTTAAAAATTTTAGACAAAATAAATTTAACAATTTATTTGAGCAAAGAATGATTCATGAATTGAGTAGCACTCAGAACCAGAAAGCTCTGTTCTGCAGTGGTATGGGCAGCAAGCTTTTTATAGGCTGGAAACAAAAGTAAGACAAAGAAAATATATTCGGTTAGAGTGGGAAGATCCTAGTTAGACGTTAGTTGGCGGTTTCTGATCAGTTATGGTTAAGTTTCATTTTACTGTTTACATTGAATTGGGTTTTTGGTTTGCTTAAGATAGAAGTTCCATTTACAGAAATAACCTCGGGCTAATGAATTCCTTACTCGCTTTTAACAGTAGTCATATCTCCCGTCCCAGGGTATGTCTAGGGCTACTGCTTATTGACTGTGATGGCCAAATAGAATGGTGGTGGGAAATTATAGCAACCTTTTGGTTTTTTTAGCATTCATTCACACATATTCATTTGTATTCTTCCACTCCAAGCAGAAGTTGTAGAAGTTAGAAGTAGATGTTAAGTGAGACTCTGGTATGATTCCAGTGTATGCTGAACATTCCATTCACTGTATTCACGAGGAAACAGTCTTTACTCAAGGTTGTGTATGTTATAATCAACAAAAAAGTCTTATTTAGCCTAGTTTACCACATGTTGTAACTTCTTAAATTGTTATCTTAAATTGTTTTTGACCTGATGATGACATACTTAAATGTCTCTGTTTCCTAAGTGACTTTTCATCTGTTTCTACTTTCTTTCTTCCAGAGCTTAAAGTAAAGATAGACGTAACTTTTAAGCACATTTCTCATAAAGTCAGTGATGGGAATTTCTTACCTCCAGATTTAGTTTATGTTTGTCGTCTATGCTTTGTACGTAGCATGCCCTTTCCTTTTTATCAGAACTATGTTCCTTATCTCCATTTGATGAATGGAATGGA